GGGGGGGGGACTTGGTGTAGGGGGGAGGCTAGTCAACATAATGTTCTTCATGTAATTGTAGATTAATGATAACAACAACAAAATAAAAACATTCACATCGTGAGCTTCAACAGCTTTCCATGCTGCAGTGGAGCAGCAAATACCTCCTAGATGGACATGCAGACCCAAGGCTGCAGCAGCGAATAAGCCTCTTGCATGTATGCCAAATGCAGTCCTCAAAACAGCCTTACATCTTAGTGAAGGAGTCAGACAGGACCAGCACAAATGATAGGCTTTTTTCCTATTGTTTGATCTCCATGCCAGTCATCCCATTTGACTTTTTCCTGTTGCCTCCTAAAATTTGGTGACAAAGTAGAAATCCAGTCATAAAAATAAAAAGGCAGAGGTGTATGAGCCCTGGCTCAATGAGATATATTAGTATACAGCATCGTGACCTCCTAGGGCAGACAGAACTGTCCTAGACACTGTGGGAGAAGATGGGCACTGGAGAGGTAAAGACTCTACTTCGTGATCACTCACACTTGAACAGTGCATCAGTCATTGAACAGGGGCAAGGTGAAGGAGGTACAGGAGGATGGTAGAGTTGTAATTCTCTAGAGTAGGAATTGGGAACATAATACTCGTGGATGGGAAATTTTAAGTAGTTACGTTTATTATTTTTTTTTCCAGCAATCTTGCAAGAGGCAGAAGTGACACTGAATTGAGTGAGACGAGTGTGTAGGTGGGATGGCGAGAAGCCCTTCTTGATGCAGGCCTCTGGTTTGTCAAGGAACAGCTAGTTCCACTGCTGGGCTGTTTACTCTTTTGCTTCAAGGAACAGGGTTTCTTGAGGGAACAACTTTACCTCCAATAATGATTTATTTGGGTCCAGCTGGGTTACCTGAGAAGAAAGAAAACATATATTTAAAACACTGGGACAAGCATTTTCTCCCTGGCATTCAGATCCTATCCATGCACATTGATTGTGAGCCTACTATGCACTGGCATGAGCATTTTCACATCTCTTACCTTATTGGATCCTCTAAATAACCCTGTATGTAGGTGTTCTTATTCCCATTTTATAATCCAGGAAACCAGGGCTCAGAGAGGTCAAGTTTCACAGTTTAGTTGAAGAACTAGCATTTGCCTGAAGGGCATAGATTCAGGGACTTGAACTCTTCCTGGGCAGGTGGAGGTTGTGTGCCTCCTGCACAGCTCAGTTAGGCCAACAGAACAGGAAGACTTTAGGAAAGGGCGCTGGCTAAACATGTGACTGGTATTCTTGGGGACGTCTGCTTTGTTAACTCCTGACAGTAAGGAGTCCTTTTCTGCTTGGTAGGAAAAAAGCTAAGCTTTTGGGCTGATCTTCCTGCTAAAGCTCTCACTAGTAAACTGTAGGATGTACTCCATCATGACCAAAGATGAGCATCCTCGGCTGAGAAGGGGCTCCCTGGGGAGGCACACCACAATCTTGGTGGTGGTGGTAGCAGGGGAGATTAAGATTGAAAAAATGAGTCAATGGCATAATGACTTTATATTTTAGAAATAAAAAATTATTTTTTAATATAAACTATAGAGAGTAAAGCTAGACAGAATCTTGGCTCAGTTGGGATATGTTCATCATACGGGGATCCTAAATTAGGTTTATGACCTCCTAGACCAGGGGCAGGAAAGGGATGTGCAGAATTTCTTTATCTGGGAGGAAAAGCAACCCCAACATTTTCCTGTTTATCAAAAGGAAACATGAATTTTAAAAAGTTGAGAAATACTGGTTTAGTGGGAAGGACGGTAGGCTTTGGAACCAAAAAGATTCTGGTTTAAACCACAGCTGAGTTGTGCTGCCTATTAGCTTTGTGGCTCTGGAGTTAGTTATCAGCCTTGTAGAACTGATGTGAGGATTAAATGAGGAAAAAATATAGTTAGCACAGTGTCTGGCACAGAGCAGGTATTCAATCATAGCTGTTGTATATATGAGTAACTGTACAAGATGTACCATTTAAGGATGGAAAGACATATAGATAAATGGGCTGCTCTCAGAGTACATGACAGGGGGCCATATAGTCTGCTTGGTTAGATAAAGGAACTCAAGGCCTGTGGGCAAAGACTATAGCATCTGAGGCAGGCAATCCTGTCCTCTGCTCAGCTCAAGCCACACCTTATAAGATGGGCTCTACTGTCTTCTCTGCAAAGGGGAGGGAGGGCCCTGGGGGTTTGAGTGTCACAGGCAGGCTGGTGAACTGGAGAGGAACACTATCTTCCACTGTATCCAGATGGAAATCTGGTATACCCAGGGGGGTCTTTAAGGAGCCACATCCACCTCCAGAATCCTCTCTGCTTATGAGAAACCCAGAGAAAAGCTGCTCTGCTGGTATCTCTTGGGCTCTGGGCAGATGGGCAGGCAAAGCAGTGGGGAGGGCCAGCTTATTGTCTGTCTTTCAATGCACTGGGGGGCAAGCTGCTGGCAAATGTTTACCCACTTCCCCAATTAACGTACAATACTGCGCTGGCTTTTGTCGACAAACAGAGCTATGCTGCCTCTGCTTCTGACTCGTTGGTATTTTCTGCCCAGCTGCTTCTGCTATTGTTCTTAATTAACATGCCAGAGCTCTCCCCGCATCTTCTACTTTGTTATTTGTGGTTTGTAAATATGATGTTTGCTGGAAGAAACCATAATCATAATATAGTGCCAGAGTTGTGCATACCAGCCCAAAGATACGCTACAAAGTAAAACAGGCTGGGAGATTGGAGCCTGGGCCCAAGTGGCACCTGGCCTGAGTTGTCAATATGCAAGGTTAGAAAGTTCAGGAAACACCAGTGGTTTTTTAATTGATCGTTGATACACAATCTTATGCAGGTTTCAAATGTACAACACAGTGGTTCAGCAGTTATCCATATTATTAAATCCTCTCACCCCCTCTAGTGAGGTTACTATCAACAAAGAAATATGTCACAGAATCAGTGATTATATTTTCCATGCTGTACTACCATCCTGTGACCAACAAATATTGAGAAAACACATGAGGAAACTGTCAAGAAAAGTTTGTAATTTTCCCTGTAAATTTTTTTATATCATTAATATACAATCAAATGAGCAACACTGTGGTTACTAGATTTCCCCCATTATCAAGTCCCCACCACACACCCCATTACAGTAACTGTCCATCAGCATAGTAAGATGCTATAGAGTCACTGCTTGTCTTCTCTGTGCTATACTGCCCCCCCTACACTATGTGTGCTAATCGTAATGCCCCTTATTCCCCTTATCCCTCCTTTCCCACCCATCCTCCCCAGTCCCTTTCCCTTTGGCAACTGTTAGTCCATTCTTGGGTTCTGTGAGTCTGCTGCTGTTTTGTTCCTTCAGTTTTTGCTTTGTTCTTATGCTGTACAGATGAGTGAAATCATTTGGTACTTGTCTTTCTTCCCCTGGCTTATTTCACTGAACATAATACCCTCTAGCTCCATGCATGTTGTTGCAAATGGTAGGATTTGTTTTCTTCTTATGGCTGAATAATATTCCATTGTGAATATATACCACATCTTGTTTATCCATTCATCTACTGAAGGACACTTAGGTTGTTTCCATTTCTTGGCTGTTGTTAATAGTGCTGTGATAAATATAAGGGTACATATGTCTTTTTCAAACTGGGCTGCTGCATTCTTAGGGTAAATTCCTAGGAGTGGAATTCCTGGGTCAAATGGTATTTCTATTTTGAGTTTTTTGAGGAATCTCCATACTGCTTTCCACAATGGTTGAACTAGTTTATGTTCCCACCAGCTGTGTAGTAGGGTTCCCCTTTCTCCACATTCTTGCCAGTGTAAGGTAAACGAAACCAGACCAGGCAAGTGGCAACAAAGGAGCCAAAATAAAAATTTATTAGCGCAATCCCGGGCGAAGTTCACCCGTCTGGCGTATCCATGGGCCAGAGAAGTTATGCCCAGCAGGAGGGGTGACAGGCTTATCAAGGGAGCTGGGAGAGGCCTGAGGGTATTGTGAACAGAACTAATTGGCTGCTGTGGGTGTCATAATCACCATCATTGGTCATGCTGGGTTGCTGGGGAGAGAGTACTGCAATGTGTGTTCTAGGTGGGACTTGTGGCTAGAGATCTACTGTTGAATCATTTGAATGACATTCGCCATTCTCTTCCTTACTTGGCTTGAGTCAGGTTCCTCCAGTGAGATGCATCCCTTCCTCCAGTACCTCCGGTCTTACAGCCAACATTTGTTGTTGTCTGTCTTTTAGATGGTGGCCATCCTAACTGGTGTGAGGTGATATTTCATTGTGGTTTTAATTTGCATTTCCCTGATAATTAGTGATGTGGAGCATCTTTTCATGTGCCTGTTGGCCATCTGAATTTCTTCTTTGGAGAACTGTCTGTTCAGCTCCTCTGCTAATTTTTTAATAGGGTTATTTGCTTTTTGGGTGTTGAGTCATGTGAGTTCTTTATATATTTTAGATGTTAACCCCTTGTTGGATATGTCATTTACAAATATATTCACCCATACTGTAGGATGCGTTTTTGTTCTGCTGATGGTATCCTTTGCTGTACAGAAGCTTTTTAGCATGATGTAGTCCCATTTGTTCATTTTTGATTTTGTTTCCCTTGCCCAAGGAGATGCATTCAGGAAAAAGTTGCTCATGTTTATATTCAAGAGATTTTTGCCTATGTTTTCTTCTAAGAGGTTAATGGTTTAATGACTTACATTCAGGTCTTTGATCCATTTTGAGTTTACTTTTGTGTATGGGGTTAGACAATAATCCAGTTTCATTCTCTTGTATGTAGCTGTCCAGTTTTGCCAATACCAGCTGTTGAAGAGGCTGTCATTTTCCCATTGTATATCCATGGCTCCTTTATCGTATATTAATTGACCATATATGCTTGGGTTTATATCTGGGCTCTCTATTCTGTTCCATTGATCTATGGGTCTGTTCTTGTGCTAGTACCAAACTGTGTTGATTACTGTGGCTTTGTAGTAGAGCTTGAAGCCGGGGAGTGTAATCCCCCTGCTTTATTCTTCCTTCTCAGGATTGCTTTGGCTATTTGTGGTCTTTTGTGCTTCCATATGAATTTTAGAACTATTTGCTCTAATTTGTTGAAGAATGCTGTTGGTATTTTGATAGGGATTGGATTGAATCTGTAGATTGCTTTAGGCAGGATGGCCACTTTGACAATATTAATTCTTCCTATTCATGACACGGGATGTGTTTCCTTCTCTGTAATTTTTAAGTGGGAGAGCTGGGACTTGTGAAGGAGTAAACAAGTTTCTTGAATACCTACTGCTTGCCATAAACTTTAATTATGTTATGTCACTTAATTTTTTTAACAACCATGCAAGGGTGGAGATGACAAAATTGAGGCTCAAAGTGGTTGCCACTTTTTAAAGGCCACATGATTATTAAGGGTTTGTATATATAGCATAATGGTTAAGAACAGTGGAGCAAACTTATATTCAAATCTTAGTTCTGTCACTACCCATATGACCTTAAAGAAGTTATATAACCAAAGAACCTCAGTTTTCCCACCTCTAAGATGGGAATAATCAGTTTCTCCTTTATAGATTGTTGTGATGGTTAAATGGAATGTTGGTGAAGCCTCTGTGCAATGCCCAAGCCAGTGAAGTGTAAGCCATTATTGGCTGGAATGCTGCCTTGGGTCGGGGCTCTGGTACATCTAACTTCAAAGCCTCCTGGCACCCAGGTCAGCATCAGGCTGCCTTTCTTGTTTCTACCCTCATGTTCAACAGAAGTGCTCCCCTTTCCCTGAGAGAGTAATACCTCAATATCTGAAGACCCCCCCCTCTTATAGCTTCAGTGTGGCTGTGCCACCAATGGAACAGCTTCGCAGCAAACAGGGCTGTGTTGGGGCTTCTCCCTCTGGCACCCCAGATCACTAGCAATTTTT